TTAGTTTTTAAGAGTATTACCTGCCCAAACTCTCATTTCAATGAGAATAAGTTGTTGGAAGCCCAGGATAAAGGGAGCTTTCCAAGGTGGCGAGGGGAACCCGAATCAGTACCAGCACTACATTTTGAACCCACCCTTGCCATTGAAGTCAGCTGCATGTGCTTCTGTGCCCTGCCCACAGTAGCATTCATGTCAGTTGGGAGGCTGTAGGAAGCTAGGGCCATGCTTCAAGATTGTGTTACTTTTCATAAGGAAAACAAATGTCTATATATAGAACAAGAAAAAATACAGAGAAATTTAATAGGAGTACAGAGGAGGGTATAATAATAGTAAAGGAGAAAATCATTAAACTCCGAGTCATGGCATCATAGATGGTTTGATCTGATTCTTAATAACCACATATTCTAACTTCATGATTTTATAGATGCTGAAACTGAGGGTTGGAGGTTAAGTGACATAGCCTTATATACCTGAGTTGTTACTCTGAGCTGATAATTAATTTGGCAGAACCTTTAGGTAATGATTCCATGTTTAGTGACCCTAATGCCACAGGTCAGAGTGGACAGCAGTGAGAAGGGGTGACTTCCTAGGCAGGGAAATCAAAGACAGCCCTGAGTGTGCCCGCTGGAAGGTAAGAAGAAGTCGCATGCCTGGAGGGGTGGTTCCGTGTCCACAGAGAAGTAAGATACACTCACACGAGGAAATCTGGGCCGGATGGTGGTGAAGTGGGCAGCCACTGTGGATTCTAGAGCTGCAGGGGATGTGGCAGAAGCAGTTCTTAGAAGATGAGTCCAGGTTGGTCTGGACTGAAGGTAGAAAAACCAGGAGTACGGGTCCAATGGCTGTTAAGAAGTCAAAGTTACAGTTTAAAGAATAATCTATCAGAACTTGCTGATAAATCAGATTTGGTCAAGGAGATTTGGGAGAAATGGTCAATGATCGTTAGGTTTTCGAATCTCATGGCTGGAGGAAAATTACGTCAGGGAGAGAAAGAAACTGGGAGGAAGAATGGGCTGAGGGGGCAGGAGGCAGTTAATTTGACCTTAGAGATCTTAGGTTGGGCGTTACAGCAGGATGTCTAGAGGGGGTGTCCTGTAGGCTAGTGGAGGTAATCTGAGGTGTTCCGTCTGGGTTTCAGGGGGAGTAGACCAACATGATTATTGCAATTGTGGAAATGGGTGAATTGAAACTCTGGGAAATGAAAGAGAAGTGGTTAGGACTTTAACTTGTGGCTTCCAGCCTTAGGGATGCCCCCCAAAGGGACGAGAGAGTCTACGACATCTGAGAAGAGGACATGGAGAGGTATGAAGGTGATCCATGGCAAGGGTTCCTTGGGGCAGAGGCCAAATATTGGAGGGATCGAGAAGGAGTCCAAATTTAGTGCCACAGAACCTAACGTTGGTCTTGGATAACATATTCACACACGTAACGTGTAAGGTAACGAGGAGAGGGTAAGATGAGGGTGGTGTGCAAACAGCATGGCGGATGTCTGGGGTGCTGGTGTTTGCTCCAGGATAGGTAAACTGATGAGCTCTGAGACAGCCAGAGACAGTGTTTAGGGAGGGGTACAGCACAAAGTCCAGTGTAAGGCCACTTAGGGACAATAGAGAAGGACAAGTTTGGGAATGGAATGTGTGGCACCCTGGGAGAGACCGAGGCAGCTGTTCAGCAACAGGACCCCTAGGCTCCCTGGTGGACCAGACAGGACTTTTCACCCCTCCTCAGTCCTCTGCACTCCAGGGGAGACACTGGCATTTGGGGCTGCGCCAGAACCAGAGGCTTCTGGGGCCCCAGGGGATCTAGCTGGACTGGACCTGCACTGAATTTCTGCTGGCTCTTTGAGCTGACACTGACTGAGAGTGAGAGTCATCAGTCCCCTTGTCCAGCCTCACAAAGGCACGCCCCCCTGCCAGACTCCGGCACAGCCACCAGGATGCCCATGTTTCTGCTGCCATGACAAAAGGACCCCCAGTAGTTTGGCTGAGACAGAGCACAGCATCAGGTGGCCTTCGTTGAGGCCATGCTGCTGTAGGCCTCCCTGGGCTGGGGGATCACCTAGGGCTTTGCTACTCAAAGTGGGGTCCAGGGACCAGCAGTATTAATGTCACTTGGTTGCATGTTTGAAATAGTCTTGGGTCCCACCCTAGATGGAGGGAATCAGAATCTGCATTTTAATGAGAGCTGTAACTGATTTATTTATATGTTCATCAGAGAGAGATGAACTGAGCTGGTCTAGCAGTCCCAGGGCTGGCTGATCACTGGAATCACTTCAAGCCCAGGAAACTCCCCTCAGTAAGGGCCCCCAGGGGATTCAGTGGGCCGGCACTTTTGAGAACCAGTTAGTCTAACTGAACACCTCCCTTAAAAAAATTAAAACTTACTTTACACTAAAAAGAAAATTCATATTCATACAGGAAGAATGTTGAGGTGTTAAAAAAACAAAACCACTCATGATCCCGTCACTGCAGGTCAGTGCCGTAGCAAAAAGTGGGCAGTCTTTGCTTCTCTGTGTGTCTTGGAATGCATGTGGGTTTAAGTGGAATCATAGCATGTATTATTTATGTCTTGCATTTTTCACTCAGTATATTTTTAATGATTTTTATTGTATTTTCCCATTACCATTCAGTCCCCTTATAACTCCCTCCCCACCTAGCACCACTCTATTGTCCATGTCCATGAGGTCTTTTTCTTTTTTGCTCCATCCCTCCATCCCTCCCCTCTCCACCCCTTAGCTGTCATCCTGTTCTTTATCTATGAATCTGCCTTTCTATGTTGCTTATTAGTTCAGTTTGTTCATTAGATTCCACATATGAGTGAAATCATTTGGTATTTTTCTTTCTCTGACTTGCTTATTTCCCTTGGCATAGTGTTCTCCAGGTCCACCCATGCTGTCACAAAAGGTAAAACTTTCTCTCTCCTCTTTTTTATGGCTGAATAATATTCCATTATGTAAATATCCCATAGATGTTTTACCCACACATGTACTGATGGACACTTGGGCTGCTTCAATATCTTGTCAATTGTAAATAATGCTGCAATGAACAGATGGGTGCTTACTTCTTTGAATTAGTGTTTTAGTTCCTTTGGATGTATTACCAGAAATGGGATAGCTGGGTCAAAAGGCAGATCTATTTTTAATTTTTTGAGGTATCTCCATACTGCTTTCCACAGTGGCTACACCAATCTGTATTCTCACTAAGAGTGCACAGGGGTTCCCCTTTCTCCACATCCTCACTAGCACTTACTGTTTGTTGATTTATTGATGATAGCCATTCTATCAAGTGTGAAATGATATCTCACTGTGGTTTTAATTTGCATTTCTCTGGTGATTAGCAAAGTTGAACATCTTTTCATACGTCTATTGGTTTTCTGTATGTCCTCTTTGGAGAACTGTCTATTCAGGTCTTTTGCCCATTTTTGAATTGGGTTGTTTGAGGGTGTGTGTGTGTGTGTGTGTGTGTGTGGGTGGGTGGGTGTGTATTGAGTTTCATAAGTTCTTTATAAATTTTGGATATTAACCCTTTATCAGATGTATTAGTGAATATGTCCTCCCATTCTGTGGGGTGTCTTTTTATTTTGTTGATGGTCTCTTTTGACATAATTTTTAAATCAATAGCCTGTCTATTATTTGGACACTTAGCTTATTTCCAACTTCTCACTATTGTAAAAAGTGATGTCATAAACACTTTCATGACCAAATGTTTGGGCAACAGGTGAAACTGCCGAGTACACAGACTTCTTTCACACTTTGATCACCTCACCAGCATTTGTCCAGATCTGTACTCCTGCCAGTGCCCTGTTATCCTACACTCGCACCAACCCTTGAACTCTCACCACAAAGCCCAGGGGTAGGGAATGGGATGTCTCAAGGGTCCTAGTGGCAGATTTGTCACTAAGGTTGTCCCTGCTACACCCTCCTAACGCCCAGGCCATGGAGGTTGGTACCACTGCAGTGGCTGGAAGCCCACCATCAGCATCACCCTGTCGTCTCACCTGCCCCCCGAGCGCCCCCAGTGCTACCCTCCCCCTCTCTGAGCCCTGCTCCTTCCCCCACCTTCCTCTTTCCCACCCCCTCTTATTTTCTGCACTCTTATCTTTTTTCTACTATTTTCCCTTCTTGGTGAGAATCTTATCTATTTTGTAAACCTCAGCCTTAGCCATCCTTGCATTTTACTTTTCTGGGCTATTTTCCAACTCTTACTGCCCTCATGCCCTAATTTGATCTGGTTCTTTTCAAACTAGATTCCAGACCAGTCTTTTAAAAGTCATTTTAGGGACAGGTTCTAGGGCAGATAACCTGGTTGAAGGAGAGGAGCCTCGTGGGGCTCTGTGGTCTGGACTTTATATGGGGACACAGGCTTCAGTGTAGAGCACTCATCCTCAAAAACACAAGTGTCTATGCATTGAGCCCATCCTGTTTCTGTGTGGTATAAATGGGGGGTTTATCAGGCTTTGGATGATCTCTTTTCCCTGGTTTCAACAAGGCAACTCAGGCCCTAAGAATAATGCTCTCTAACTCTGCAGGACACCTGCCGTCCATCAGTGCTGGGTCCTCCCCCGCTGCTAAGGGAGGGTGGACTGCAGTGACCCTATGCCACCGGGAAGTGGGACAAGGTTTGAGTGGGCTTATCCTCAAGCTGTGAAGTGAGAGTCCATCATTCCCTTGCCCTTCCCCAGGCTCAGCCCTGGGAGGTACTCCTGGCCAAACAATTTGGGGAAACTTGTTCTCTGGTTTTCCAGGGCTGGCACCAGAGCACAGTCACACAGTCACACCCAGCCAGCTTGACCTGTTCCCAGATGGCCCCAAATGAGGGCTGCCAGAGCTGCCTGGAGCTTGCAGGGCAAGGGAGAGAGTTCTGTGGACTCTGGGGGCCAGTTATGGAACAGCGCCCTGATGGGAACTTCCACCCTGTGACTGGGTATCTGCCCCCAGCCCCACTGCCTTCCTTTGATGGCTCTTCCTTCCTTTCCCCCAGGAAGGACCAGTCACCCCTGCAGGAATGTGCTCCCTCCCCATGGCAAGATACTACATGTAAGTCCTTCCTTTCCTGATCAGGAGCCTGGGATGACACAGGAGAGGGAAAGAGGCTGAGTCAGAAGGACAAGCCTCCTTCTTACCTTAGAAACCTCAAGTGCCCCATAAGTAAGCTTAATGATCACCCCCAATAATAATGGCTTTCTTCCCTGAACATCTGCAAGATGCTAGTCATTCCACTGTCTTGTCTCCACTCTAAGGAATCCAAGAGGTATCACTAAACTCACTTTACAGATCTGGAAACTGAGGCTCAGAGGTTCAGCGAGTTCCCTGATGTCCCCCAGAGCCAGGACCCAGACTGCACATGCCCTGTACCACCCCACCCTCTTTCTACAGGATCAGAGACCAGTTTGAGTCTCGGTGACAACACCTGTGTATGCTGGCCTCTGTGGCCTTTACTCCCAGTCTAGGTTTCCAAGTCTTACTTGTGTTTTCTCCCATTTGACATTTTGGTGTTTATTGACAGTTTACTCTTTACTGTCTGTGGTTTGTGTTGTAAATTTCCTCCAGCCCTTAGGGAAGAAGATGGGATGTAATGAAAATAAAATGTGTTAGCTTCTGGGATGTCTTTCCTCAGCTCCTGCATGGGCCTGTTGTCCTGACAGGGGGCCCACTCAGGGCCCTAGAAAGTTACAGCTTGGCTGGAAGGCAGGACACAGGTACAAAATATGCTAATGACCAGATAGGTACCATACCTTAGAGTATCTAGCTTGGGTCCAGGTCTCCAAATAGCCTGTTGCTGGCAGATGCATGGTGTAGTCTTAATGGACCAGCATGCAAGCTCAGGCTGCTCAGATCTTAATTTTTTATTGTATAAGTGAACTTGTGTTAAACACCTACAGTCATTAGCTAAGGGCATTACAATTAGCTGTTATTGAGAAAGGAAAAGCTCCTGGAGGCAGTGGCCTTGGCCCAGAGCTTCTGCCCTAGAAGGTAAAGAAGCCTTCTTGGACCTGAGGGTGGGTAACAAATGTCTTTGAAACCAGCCGGGCAACTGAGCTAATAGCTGGCTTGACTTTGATGTTGCACGTGCTCGCTCACCAGGGTTTCTCCCCAGCCCAAGGCACATAGCCACCCTCCCAGGCCCATTGTTACAACTGCACCCAAGCCTGGTGACTGCCTGCAGGCCCACTTCAGCTCTCTGCTGACCTCCTTACTTGGCACACATAACGTGGTTGTCCCAGAGCTCACCTGCTTGGTGCAGGGGGCACGTGGCACATTTACCATCACATAGGAATTCTTCCAGTTGTGGATTTTCTCCTATTGAATGGTCTTTAAATATCTGAAAAGCAAATCACACTTCAATATACATTCAATTGATTCCTTTAATAGGACAATAAATATCTATGAAAAATTGAGGCAAGCCCAGAAAACCTGGGATAAGGCTCACTGTATCCCAAAGACATTACAGCCTCATGTGGAGATTTCTCCGGAAGGCGGTGGAAAAGGGCTACATCATCAGGAAAATTCCCTGCCCCTCAGTGAAATGGCATCAGCTCCCTTCAATGCTTTGAAGGCCCTGACAGAGCCCAAGCCTTATAAAGGGCAGAGGTGCAGCCTCTGACAAAATGCAGGACGCCTTTCTTGTCTTAAGATGACCTGGCCTTTACTTGCCCCCTTCACACCTGTGGAAGGAGAAGAACCTCCAGATACTTAGTAAGGTGATCAAACTGTGGGATTTTGAACTCAGTGGTGGTGGAAGGACGTGGGTCATGAGCATTGCCATCCTGTTTCAGAATTAAGGATGCAGATCAGAAGGCTCTGTGCGTAAGAGACAACCAGCTCCTGGTGGGAGATCCTGACTCGGACAACTGCTGTGCAGGTGAGCCCTGGAGCCCCCACCCACTGGGACTCTCCCAGGCTCCCTCTGCCACAGGTTCTGCCCTTCTCTCCTGCCTCTGGTGACACTGAGAAGAGACAGGGAACAGCTGAGGACCTCTCCTAGTGAGAGGGTCATGACCCCAGTAGGAGTCTCAGTTTATCCTACAGCTTGCTTGCAGGGTCCAGGCCAGCTGTGCCCTGGCCCAGTTCCTGCCTGAACTTATCTCATTGAGAGCTTGCAGTGTGGGTCGCCTCACATTCTGGCTCCCTTCTTTCTTCCTTCCCAGAGAAGATCTGCATACTTCCCAACAGAGGCCTGGATCGCACCAAAGTTCCTATCTTCCTGGGGATCCAGGGAGGCAGTCGCTGCCTGGCATGTGTGGAGACAGTGGAAGGGCCTTCCCTGAAGCTGGAGGTGAGATATGGCCTGTTTAGGGGGACCCTGTGGACCTGCCTGTCTTCCAGGACACTCTGGCATCTCTACTCCCATCTGTGGGTTCCCTGCCAGGTCCCCACGTCCCCTCCTGCGAGTCTCCACTATCTCCCTCTGTACTCAGTGCCAAGACCCTTGCCCTTTAGAGCTCTCAGGAGGCAGTTTCCTGGCTAAAGACCCCACCCTCCATCCCATTCAGTCCCTCTCTGGCTAAGTTCTGAGGCCTCCAGGCTGACTGCTTACTTAGCAGCCTCATCCTACAGCCGGTCTCTTGTCCCCCACAGGATGTGAACATCGAGGACCTGTACAAGGGTGGTGAGCGGGCCACAGGCTTCACCTTCTTCCAGAGAAGCTTGGGCTCTGCCTTCAGGCTTGAGGCTGCTGCCTGGCCTGGCTGGTTTCTCTGTAGCCCAGCGGAGCCCCAGCAGCCAGTGCGACTCGCTAAGGAGATTGAACCCTCTGCCTGCACTGAGTTCTACTTCGAACAGAGTCGGTAGGGAGGCAGGGACTGTGCTCAGGGACTGTGGTAGGCAGAGTAATGCCCCCAAAGATGTCCATATCCCAGTCATCAGAATATAGGGATATGTTACCTTAAAAGGCAAAAGGGACTTTGCAGGTGTGATTAAGATAAGCATCTCGAACTCTGGCTATTGTGGTTTAGTGGATTGACTGCTAGCCTGTGAACCAAAAGATTGCTGATTCAGTTCCCAGTCAGGGCACATGCCTGGCTTGTGGTCCAGTTCCCCAGCTGGGGGTGTGCAAGAAGCAATGATCAATGTGTCCCTTGCACATCAGTGTTTCTTTCCCTCTCTTTCTCCCTGCCTTCCCCTCTCTCTAAACATAAATAAATAAAATATTTTTAAAAAAGAGATAACAGGACTTCTGGCCAAATAGAGGTGTAGGTAGACACACTGTGCCTCCTTGCACAACCAAAAGAAGGACAACAACAATTTAGAAACAAAAAACAACCAGTACCAACAGAAAACCAAACTGTATGGAAGTCTGACAACCAAGGAGTTAAAGTAGATACATTCATCCAGACCGGTAGGAGGGGCGGAGATGGGCAGCCGAGATGGAGAGGGCTCCGGGCAAAGCGGTGGCTGGCAGACCCCAGGCACACAAGGCAACAACTGGCAGACCAGGTGATCCCACATTCCCATGCAGGTAAACCAGGGGAAATTGGGGACTGAAACAAACTGCGCAACGCAGGGTCTCAGCTCAGAAAAATAAAGCCTCAAAACACCGATTGAAAACACCTTTGAGGGTTGAGGTGCTGGGAGAAACTCCCAGCCTCACAGGAGAGTTCACTGGAGAGACCCATAGGGCCTAGAAAATACACTAGCCTACCCACATGGGAATCAGCACCAGAAGGGCCCAGTTAGCTTAGGGAAAACGGGGGAAGTGACTTAAAGCCTGCAAAGAGCGCAGCAAGCCACAGTGTTCCCTCTTGGACCCCTCCCCCACATACAGTGTCACAACCCAGCCACTGGGTTGCCCTGCCCTGGTGAATACCTAAAAGGCTCCACTACTCACTACATAACAGGCACATTAAGACAAAGAACAAAAACAGAAACAAAAAAAAAGGCCCAAACAAAGGAACAGATCAAAGCTCCAGAAAAAATACAACTAAGCAATGAAGAGATAGCCAACCTATCACATGCACAGTTCAAAACATTGGTAATCAGGATCCTCACAGAATTGGTTGAATTTGGTTCACAAATTAGATGAAAAAATGAAGACTATGCTGAGCGAAATAAAGGAAAATGCACAGGGAACCAATAGTGATGGGAAGGAAACTGGGATTCAAATCAATGCAGTGGACCAGAAGGAAGAAAGAAACATTGAATCAGAAAAGAATGAAGAAACAAGAATTCAAAAACATGAGGAGAAGCTAAGGAACCTCCAGTACATCTTTAAACATTCCAACATCTGAATTATAGGGGTACCAGAAGGAGAAGAGGAAGAGCAACAAGTGGAAAACTTATCTGAACAAATAATAAAGGAGAACTTCCCCAGTCTGGCAAAGGAAATAAACTTCCAGGAAGTCCAGGAAGCTCAGAGAGTCCCAAAGAAGTTGGACCCAAGGAGGAACACACCAAGGCACATCATAATTACATAACCCACGATAAAAATTAAGCAGAGAATCCTAGAACAGCAAGAAAAAAGGAGACAGTTACCTACAAAGGATTTCCCATAAGACTATCAGTTGATTTCTCAAAAAAGACCTTACAGGCAAGAAGGGGCTGGAAAGAACTATTCCAAAGTCATGAAAGGCAAGGACCTACATCCAATATTGCTCTATCTAGCAAAGCTTTCATTTAGAATGGAAGGGCAGATAACATGCTTCTCACATAAGATCAAGTTAAAGGAGTTCATCATCACCAAGCCCTTATTATATGAAATGGCAAAGGGACTTCTAAGAAAAAGAAGATAAAAAGTGTGCAAAGGAAAATGACAGTAAACTCACAATTATTAACAACCACACCTAAAACAAAAACACAATAAGCAAACAACTAGAACAGGAAGAGAATCACAGCAATGGAGATGACATGGAGAGTTAGCAACAGGGGAGTGGGAGGAGGAAAGAGGGGGAAAGGTACAGAGAATAAGTAGCATAGATGGTGGTAGGTAGAAAATAGAAAGGGGGAGGGCAAGAATAGTATGGGAAATGTAGAAGCTAAAGAACTTATGGCACATGGACATGAACTAAAGAGCAGAATGTGGGTGGGAGGGGGTGGGCAGTGTGGAGGGGTGAAGGGGAATAATGAGACAACTGTAATAACATAATTTAAAAAATACATTAAAAACAAAACAAAACAAGAGATAAGGGTCTTGAGGTAGGGAGACCATCCTGGGTAATGGGGGGAAGGAGGATGGGCAATGTTATCGCATGGGTTCTCATAAGAGGGGTGCAGGAGGGCAAGAGTCAGAACAAGATTGGAATATGCTGTGCTGCTAATTTCATTTCATTTTTAAAAATTATTTATTTATTTTTATTTAAAAAAATATTTTATTGACTATGCTATTGCAGTTGTCCTATATTTTTTCCCCTTTATTCCCCTCCACCCTGTACCTCCCCAGCCACCATCATTCCCCCACCTTAGTTCATGTTCATGGGTCATACATATAAGTTCTTTGACTTTTCCATCTCCCGCACTATTCTTAACTTCCCCCCTATTTTGTACCTACCATTTATGCTTCTTATTCCCTGTACCTTTTCCCCCCATCCTCTTCCCACCCCCTACCTGCTGAAAACCATCTCTATAATCTCTATTTCTGTGATTCTATTCCTGTTCTAGTTGTTTTCTTAGTTTGTTTTTGTTTTTGTTTTTTTAGGTTTGGTTGTTTATAGCTGTGAGTTTGCTGCCATTTTACTGTTCATATATTTGATCATCTTCTTTTTCTTAGATAAGTCCCTTTACCATTTCATATAATAAGGTCTTGGTGATAATGAACTTCTTTAACTTGGCCTTATCTTGGAAGTACTTTATCTGCCTTTCCATTCTAAATGTAGCTTTGCTGGATAGAGTAATCTTGGATGTAGGTCCTTGCCTTTCACAACTTGGAATAGTTCTTTCCAGTCCCTTCTTGCCTATAAGATTTCTTTGGAGAAATCAGCTCATAGTCTTACATGAACTTCTTTGTAGATAACTTCCTCTTTTTCTCTTGCTGCTTTTAAGATTCTCTCCTTATCTTTAATATTGAGTGATGTAATTATGGTGTGCCTTGGTGTGTGCTTCCTTGGGTCCAGCTTCTTTGGGACTCTCTAAGCTTCCTGGACTTCCTGGAAGTCTATTTTCTTTTCCAGATTGGGGAAGTTCCCCTTCATCATTTTTCAAGTATGTTTTCAATTTCTTGCTCTTCCTATTCTCCTTCTGGCACCCCTATGATTCAGAATTTGGAATGTTTAAAGTTGTCCCAGAGGTTGCTAAACCTCTCCTCATTTTTTTTTTGAATTCTTATTTCTTCATTCTGTTCTGGTTGAATGTTTATTTCTTCCTTCTGCTCCAAACTGCTGATGTGAGTCCCAGTTTCCTTCCCTTCACTGTTGGCTCCCTGTCTACTTTTCTTTATTTCACTTTGCATAGCCTTCATTTTTCCCTCTGTTTTGTGACTGTACTCAAGCATTTCTGTGAGCATCCTGGTTACCAGTGTTTGGAACTCTGCATCTGATAGGTTGGCTATCTATTCATCACTTAGTTGTATTTTTTTTTTCTGAAACTTTGATCTGTTCTTTCATTTGGGTCATATTTTTTGTCTAGGCATGCCTGTTCTGTTGTAAGGGGCGGAGCCTTAGGTATTTGCTAGGGTGGGGCAACCCACTTTGTTGTGTTGTGGTGCTGTACATGGGGGATGGGGTCTGAGAGGGAACAGTGCTGCTTGGTTAGCTCTTGGCCAGCTTTCAGTCATTTCCTCCTCTACCCACAATCAAATTGGGCCCTTCTGGTGCTGATTCCCAGGTAGGTGGTTTTGTGTACATTCTGGGATCCTGTGGGTCTCTCCAATGACTTCTCCTGTGAGGCTTGGAGTTTCTCTCACTGCCTCCACCCCCACAGGTTTCTTCAGATGGTGGTTTTGAGGCTTAATTTCCCTGCACTGGTACCCTGGGTTGCCTAGTCTGTCCCCCTCCCTGGGTGTTCTTCCCAGTTTATCTGAATGCAAATGTGGGACTGCCCACTCTGCCGGCTGAGCCTTGCCCCAAGTCCTCTCCACCCCACTTGCCTGTGTCTTCCCCTCCTCCCGGTCTGGAGGAATGTTTCCTCTTTAACTCCTTGGTTGTTAGACTTCCGTACACTTCGATTTTCTGGCAGTTCTGGTTATTTTTTGTTTTTAAATTTGTTGTTGTTCTTTTGGTTGTGCGAGGAGGCAAGTGTATCTACTTATGCCTCCATTTTGGCTGGGAGTCTGTGCTGCTGATTTTAAAGGTGGTTTCTAGAAGCTGAAAAAGGCAAGGAAACAGATTCTTTCCCAGAGCCTCCAAAAGGAACCAGCCCTGCCGGCAACTTGACTTTAACTCCATGAAGCTCATTTCTTGCATAAATGTGTTGTTTTAAGCACTAAGCTTGTGGTAGCTTGTTACAGCAGCTGTGGGAAACTGATACAGGGCCTCAGGCTCTTGTGTGCTGTGTCTAATGAATCTCAGTGAGTTCTTAGAAGGCTGGCCACAGCTTCTCCTCCAGCATTTCTGCTCCAGAGCTTCTAGGAACAGCCAAGAAGCTCCAGGCTGAACCCAGCTCTCCTCCTCTGTCCACAGACAATGCCTTGGGCAGTTTGCAGTTTCAGTTTTCATTCAAGTCTTGCGATTCTTCTGTCAGATACTTCACAATGTATCAGTCATTCAATCTATCAATCAGTACCTTTATTTGTCTCCTAGTTCTGATGTGTGTAAGGAGCAAGGAGGGGCAGTGAGGGATAGGCAGTGGGCTTCTATGTTACAGGTTGACTTTAAGATTCCAGTGCAACCTATTTGTTGAGAAGACTGGTTACAGCTTGGAAT